ATGACAAGAAATTTATTACTTTTATATTTTGAAGCATAATCATCTGCAAATGATCGCGTTTTAACGTAATTACGGAAAATATCATCTTTCCATCTTCATATCATCTATCTATATATCCTATCTATTTATCTATCTTTTCTATCTATCTATCTATCTTTCTATCTGTCTTTATATGTATATATCTATCTATCTATCTAGGAAGAAGATGTCCCCTTGGCTGATGTTGATGCTAAGCTAGCTTTAGAGCTTGGTGGGATTCTTGTTCAGCAGACTAGATATAGGTTCATTCATTCATTCATTAATCCTTTCATTCATTCATTAATTCATTTATCCTTTTATCCTTTTATTCTTTCATACATTCATCCATCAATTCTGCCATTAATTCGTTTAACCATTTTTTTATTCATTCATATATTCTAATTTATTCTTTCATTTATTAAGTCATTCATTCATCCTTTCTTTCAGTCCTTCATCCTTTCTTTTTAGTCCTTCAGCCATTAATTCATCCTTTCATCCATTTATTCACCTAAAGGGGTCAAAATATTCACTTTGGGCAGTGGTATGGAAATGACACCCTCCCCATGTCTTGGTGTATGGTCAAGATTATAAAAATTCATTATACTAATTTTTATCACTTAAATCTTCTCTTAAAATCATTCTACCCTAGGACTCTGAACGAAAGACCAATATTTCTGGATTTCTCAAAACCTGACCCCAAAAAAGCGGGACATTTGAAGGTAGACGATATTTTTTATTTTGATCAGGCTTTTTTAAAAGGAAGTTCTTAAAATTTTTAAAAAGCAAAAGTGCACTGCAAATTATGATCCGGAATTCTCACACTGCAGTACACAGATACCATTCAAATATTAAGTCTTCTAATGGTTTCTAAATGATTGGTAGAAGAAAGAAAAAAAGTTTACAGTTGGAGTAAATCATTATTTACAAGTGTTTTATAATTTTTATAAAATAAAATGGTACGAGGCATAGTTGATAATTTCAAACGTTCATCTTTTTTACTGCGTCTGCATGTCCGCAGGTTCTTTTTTTCTTGCTTCCCTTTGACCGTCCATGTATAGCGCTGCATTTATAAGAATGTTTCATTGAATAGATGTTCCCCTCTCTGTTTTTTGTTTTGCTTAATTGTAATTGCAGCCTCAGTACTGCACATTCTGTACTCACACTTATTTTATTTTTAATTTGCTGCAAGGGAGCAATAGCTTCCCTGCTTTGAACCGAACATTTTTACTTGTATTTTAGGTTTAAAGATTTAAGCCGGCGCTCAATTAAAACCGTTTTTGGCAAAATTAATTCATTGAATTCGGACTGGGGATGAAGGATATCCCTTTTGAAAGTTTTCAGCTCTGTTTACATTCGTGTGTGTATGGAGTCATACTAATTGTCACAAAAATTGTTTGTTTTGAAAACTTGTACTAATTTTCACATGATTACTTAAATGGTACAAGATTTTTTTTTAGATTGGTGTTGGCATTCTGGAGTGGAGTTTTTGTGGAAGATATTTAGGTTTTCATTTTTAACACTTTTTCATAAGCTATATGGTAAGAGAGTTGTTTTTAAAATTTTAATTAAAATAGAAAATAAACCTCTCCTATTCTTCTCTCTTAATGTGACTTCAGACTTAGTTCCATTTGATCCTCTTTTTTTAAATTTGCTTGTCCGATTCACAACGATACACTTAGATCCTCCTTTGTCCGATTCACAACGGTACACTTGGATCCTTTGTCCGATTCACAACGATACACTTAGATCCTCCTTTGTCCGATTCACAACGGTACACTTGGATCATTTGTCCGATTCACAACGGTACACTTGGATCCTTTGTCCGATTCACAACGGTACATTTTGATCCTTTGTCCGATTCACAACGGTACACTTTGATCCTTTGTCCGATTAAGAATAAATGATATTTTCTTAGTATTTGTGTTTTCTTTACAAATGTGACGATGAAGCAAATTGATAGAATTCAACACTTTTCAGACAGCACAACACCAATATCTTATCCATTGTAACTCAGACAACGTTATAAAGGTTATGGTTGTGAATCCAACATTCCACACTTTAAATGGTGGGTCAGATGGAATTATGTATATAGTGACTTTAAATATTCCTTTTATTTAGCCTCCAGATGTGATAGTCTTCCTACCGGAGTTTGGATTTGGGACTTAACCACCCTTAAACTAGCGGCTGTTCTTATTCATAAGGTTAGATTTTAATATTTTGCTTGAAGTTAGTTTTTTTCCATCTTATTTTATAATCCTCCATCTTGTTTTATTATCCTACATCTTGTTTTATTATCCTCCATCTTGTTTTATTATCCTCCATCTTGTTTTATTATCCTCCGTCTTGTTTTATTATCCTCCGTCTTTTTTTATTATCCTCCATATTGTTTTATTATCCTTCATCTTGTTTTATTATCCTCCATCTTGTTTTATTATCCACCATCTTGTTTTATTATCCTCCATCTTGTTTTATTATCCTCCGTCTTGTTTTATTATCCACCATATTGTTTTATTATCCTCCATCTTGTTTTATTATCCTCCATCTTGTTTTATTATCCTCCATCTTGTTTAGGCTAGTGTGAAGCAAATGCAGTGGGAAAGAACCCAACCTAGACTTGCAACAATAACAGGTTTTTGATTCTTTTATTTTTCAAGAAGCAGAAAATACGATGATGAGTACTTTTAAAATTCATTGTTTCATCTTGAAATAATTTTTTAATTTTAATTAATAAAACAATAAGGTGGTACTGCCTTGTTTTTCTGGACTCCTCTTGGAGCAATAGTTGGTAGAATACCTTCAGTTTCTAGGTATTCATTTATTCATTTATTCATTTATTAGCCAAATTTTGAAAGGTTTAATTTTCTCAATTGGATTAAATTAATGATCTTTTGGATGAAAACCCCTGCCTATTGAGTATTGATGTACAATTTTTCCTTTTTTACTCCTGAGCGTCAACAATCATTTTTGAAAATATAAACCCCTGCCCAAGTTTAAACTCAAATTTTTAAAAGTTTTTTTCTCATTTTTCTCCGAGGTTTTTCTCATTTTTTCTGAGATTTTTCTCGTCTTTCCCTTAGTTTGTTTTTGCTCCCAGTTTTCCTTTATTTTTTCCAGTTTTCTCCCAGTGTTGTCCAAGTCTGATAAAGATAATTTATAAATTATTTAAAATGTTGTATCAGGGATTCTGGTGTCCTCTGTAGACTACAAAAGAAAAAACCAAGAAATATTGATGAAGATCTAGATTTAGAGCCTTCCAGAGATACACCCTGTATCTAGAACCTTTTAGAGACACACCCTGTATCTAGATCCTTCTGGAGAATGGAGATACACCCTGTATTCAGAACCTTTTAGAGACATCTTTTATCTAGATCCTTCTAGAGACACACCCTGTATCTATAACCTACTAGAGACACACCCTGTATCTAGAACCTTTTCGAGACACACCATGTATCTAGAACCTTCTAGAGACACACCCTGTATCTAGAATCATCTTCTAGAGCTACACCCTGTGTCTAGAGATTTACTTTATATCTAGAATCTTCCAGATACACATACTGTATTTAGAACCTGCTATTTAAAGTTTGTAGATAATTGTATCTAATTCTGGCATGGACTTAATTCTGACAATTTTGAACGTTAGTTAAAGTACCTCTGGAATATAGATCTAAGGATAACAAACTAAGAAAGATTTTTTTGTCAAGTCAAATGATTGATCCATATTTTGAAACCAAAGTTGAAAGTACAAAATCTATTAAAGGGACTGTAAGCCTAATTTTAAGTGACCCATTCTGCAAAGATTTCAACGCCCGATCCATACAAGTTTTGAACCTAGGAAAACGAAAATATCTTCCACATCCTTGATCAGATAATTATTGTGAATCGGACAGTGCCATTTTTGCATGAAGGGTCACTTGAAATTCTGCTTACAACCCTTTTAATTAATTCAGATAAAAGATGGATCTGGAGGTTGTTCATGCTCGGTCTAACAAACACCTAGTTACTGTCACGGACCAGGTTTAATTCATTTTTCAATTTGAAATAATCATGATTAAATCACATATTTAATATTAAAAAAAGAAATTTGAATAAGTATCATTACTATCCGACCGCTGAATAATTATCTTATAATTAGCGACAAGATTGTTGAAATATCTGCGGATGGTTCAATTCCTTTTCTTCTCTTGCTGGTTTATATTTTTCATTTTAAAAAATAATCTGCAGACTTATTTCAATATTTTAAGAAAAGAGGAGAAACCTTTTTAAATTGTTTTGAATGAATTTTAATGAATGAATGAATTCAAATCAGTTTCCTGAGATGAAGATTTATAAAAAGCTGAGCAAGTAACGACTAGTTAAAGGGAGTGACCGGCAATGTATGGTGGTTAAACTGACAATGTAGTATTGTGGAAAATTTTGTATGAATCGTTTGAGACATATAACAGGTTTCTACGACGTATAATTACTGAGTTTGAGCGCAAAGGCGACGTTAAAACTCGTCAATTTGGGTGGGTGCGTTTTGAGAATCGTTTTTTTTACATTATTAAATAACGACGACATAAAATGTAACAAAACTTCTATAGTAAACTTTTTTGATGTTAAGGAACAGGTTGAGAAAATAAAAATTAACTTTTTGACATAGAAAATAAGTAATCTTATTCAGTTATTAGTTTCTGTAATCTCATTGTTCACAAACATTTTCTTTAGATTCTCTGGAATTTTTATTGAAAAGACGGCATTTAAAGAATTTGTAGAAATCTGCAAACAAATTCGTAAAGAATGAGAAATTAAATATAATGATATAAAAGAAATTGATTTATTGACAATTGTCTGTTCGGAAATATGTTCCTAAAGATCTAATTAGTTTACTGTAGAAATTTTGTTACATTTTTCGTCGTCGTTATTTAATAACTTTTAAAAAACCAATTCTTAAAAGTTCAAAACGTACCCAACCAAATTGATGATTTTGAAAGTCGACTTTGCGCTCAAACTTGGTAATTATAAATCGTGGAAACGTTTTATATGTCTCAAATGATTCCTAAGAAAATTCTCCACAATATTACATTCTTAGTTCAACTACCATACGTTGCCGTTCACTCCCTTTAAACTACTTCTCTAGTTAAACTAATAATCCACCTGCCTGGTTTAAGCTGATCGCTTTAGCACAAGGAAAGTAGTTAAATCAGGTCTTGTTACCTCGTGCCACTCATAAATTCCGATTTTTGTAACAAACAGTACTATATTTTTTAAATTAATAATTAAAAATTATTACTCCAAAATTAGATTTTAATAAATTATCCAATAAATTAATCAATCAATCTATAGTTGGAGACGAATACAGTTGGAGATCTGAAGAGAGCAATAGCTTGCAAGAAACCCAAGGTTAACCATTCTTCAAATCTTTCTTTCTCTACACTTTTTTTTGTATAATTTTGTAAAATTTTGTGTAATTTTGATATACCTTTTATAGATAAGTTACAAAATAAAACTGTGTATTTGTTTCAGTATCGTGATGTGAACAGACAGGAACTGCGGCTGGAACCTAAAGGGAAAGCTCTCAAGTAAGTTGATTAATCGGGATCGATCTAGCTGGATTTTATTTAATTAATATAGAATTGATTTGACTCGATTGATTCGTTTTTGTTAGTTTGATTTTATTTGATTTAATTTGATTTGAGTTGATTCGAGTTGAGTTGATTTGAGTTAATTAGATTTGATTTGATTTGTTTGGTTATATAAGCGTAGTATCAAGTGACCCTCCATGCAAAGATGGGAGTTTCCTTATTACAACTGTACCCTTGAAACCTTGATCTGGTAAAAATATGGAACATACTGTCGTTTTCTTGACTCTCAAGTGTTCAATTCTGATAATTTCTCTATTGCTTCTTAAATGCAAGAAATGCGCTAGTCACTTCCGCATGGAACCTGCAAATTAAAATAAACTAAAAAATTATAATTCACAATTGAGCAGACAGAGCTTTTAAGGGTACCATTGTAAATCCGGCAGTGCCATCTTAGACGGAGAGTCGTTTGAAATTACGCAATCAGTCCCTTTAACATGATTAATTGATCAGGGATGAGGTGGTGTTGAAGACACTAGGGTTGAATACCGGAGCTATGCTCTATTTTAAGGTAAACAGACAGACAGAAAGACTTCTAGACAGACAGACAGGCAAACACATACACAATGAGAAAAGAACCAATGAAAAGAGGGATTGTTAACATTATACTGTAACGTATTTGAACAGTACTTAATACTAGCATCTTAGATATCAGTAACTAAAACAGCTCTCAGCTAAAATTGTAAATGATAGAAAAGGTTGTAAGCAAGGCTCTGTATGTGTTAGCAAAATAATTAGTTAGGGCGGATCAGTGATCATTTAATGATAACTAATTGTTGTTTGTTAACAATAAACTTAGTCCTACAGCTGTCCTAATACGTCGCAGTAGATGGTAGAAATCCCCCTCTTCTTAGTTATATATTTATAAATAATATATAGAGAGAGAGGATTAGGGAAATATATATGTATATATATCCTTGGTCACATTGACTAACTATGCACTATCTTAAACACTCACTTATTCACTAATTCACATATTTACTAACTTAATCACTTATCAACTCAAATGCTAACGAACTCAAATACTTAATTACTCACTCACTCACCAACTTTTTCCCAAACTAACTTAACTACTCACTTAATCACTTACGAACTAATTCGATCACTCATCATTTACTAAATCGCTCAATAATTTACTCAATCACTCCCAAACTCAATCCCTAACTAACTAACTCATTTACTCATTCAATGACTTACATACTAACTCACTCAATAACTCGCTTGCTTAATCAGCAACTAACTCGCATACTCAGCAACTAGCTAACTCTCCCACTCACTCACCTTATTATTGTTGTTAGGATCGTGGAATGCAGATAGGTTGGACCACTGTCTTCCTGGCAGAATATGCTGGACCTTTGTTTGTTTACCTCTGGTTCTACAGGTCACGTGATATACAATCTCTGATTAATTCATAAATTAGCCAAATAAAGGAATTTGTCTTCCATGAGAGATGGCAATTTTAATATATTTTTTATCCTAAACCCACGGTCCCCCAGCAGAGAATGAATTTTTCAACATTCCAAAAAAAAAGAATAGAATTTGAAACTTTCCAAAAAAAGAATAGAATTGAAAATTCTAAAAAAAAGAATAGAAATTTGAAAATTCCAAAAAAAGAATAGAATTTAGAAAATTCCAAAAAAAAGAATAGAATTTGGAAAATTCCAAAAAAAAAGAATAGAATTTAGAAAATTCCAAAAAAAAAAGAATAGAATTTGGAAAATTCCAAAAAAAAGAATAGAATTTGGAAAATTCCAAAAAAAGAATAGAATTTGGAAAATTCCAAAAAAAGAATGGAATTTAAAAAATTTAAAAAAAAATTGAATTTAGAAAATTTAAAAAAAAAGAATAAAATTTGGAAAATTCTAATAAAAAATAGAATTTGGAATTTTCCAATAAAAGAATAGAATTAAGAAAATTTCAAAGAAAGAATACAATTTGGAAAATTTCAAAGAAAGAATAGAATTTGGAAAATTCCAAAATAAGAATAGAATTTAAAAAATTCCCAAAAAAGAATAGAATTTGCCTGGTAAATGTTAGATTTAAATCTTATTGATTTGAGATGAAAGGGGATTAATGAATAATATATACTTTGTTGATTTAGAGCAAATTATCAATTATGACAAGTCCTAGAATTCTAGACGGAGTATAGTTTTAAATTTTCTTTTTAATTTTAATGAACTTTTTATCTTAAACCAAGGTCCCGTGCAGGAAATGAATAATATACTGTTTTAGAGAGATTTTCTTAAAAAACCATTTGGCGAAGAATAATAGCATGGGAGGGGGAAGGGGAAAGGTCAATTGAACATGCCGCAAAAAACTAAACAACCTCATTTGCTGTTTTTAAAAGAAGTCTTAAAATTCCAGATTAAGCAGAGTACCCAAATTATTTAAAATTTAATCTTGTAAAGGGATGGCGATTTTAATTTTGTGAATCTTGAATAATTTTATACTTTTTCAAAATTTCAATTATTTTTTTTAAAAGGTAAATATTTTGCCATTAAATTAGCACTAAACTTCAAACATAATCAAAACGAAGAAGGGTTGGGGGGCGGGGAAGGTTCTTGAGAAAACGTGTACGATTGATTGCAAGAACTTCAACTGCACCTTATATATTGTCATGATTAAGTTTTAAAATGAATAATAATAATATAGCTTGACTATACCTTAAAATTTGTTAAAAATCAAGATATTGCCCATTACTAATTATTTGTTCTATATAGGCGGCCCTGGTTAGCTTATGGAGATGTTGGTGGGGAACCTGCTGCAGAAGTTGTCCATATAGCAGCTGCATGCTGGTAGGTCAAACATCTATATATTTATAACGTCGTCGTCTTTATCAATACAATGAAGACGACTTTTAATTTTAATTTTTATTTCTATCAAGCTTTCAAACAGCATGGATACACAACACATAAGAAAGCTGTCAATTAGCAGCTTCTTTTTGTTTACTTTTTATAATTTGAAAATAGCTTGTTAGCCATGTATTGATATAAACGCCAACCACTGTATATAAAGTAGTAATCTGTTTTTGTTTGTTTGTATTTATGTTTGCACCCGTTGACCGGTTTGCCTCAAATTGTCAAGATCTCTAGGGAAAGCTGAGTACCAAGCTAGTTTATTTAGTAGTATCTGTGTGTTTGTATATTCGATCATAACTCATGAATCCCTTGACCCATTTGTCTTACATTTTATGTTGAATTTGTCGAAAGTTAAGATTTCCATGCAACGCCGGGTTCCCAAACTAGTTCTAGTAAAGTTAATGATGTTCAGTGTTCACATATCTCGTAGATCAATTATATTCATATATTAGCTGCTAACAGGAAGTGTTAATCTGTTCACAATTTAATTATGTTTAGCACTTCATTCAAAATTAGTAAACACTCCCTATAAAATGATTAATTTCAGGGTATTCCATTATGCTAAGAGGATTCTGGAAACCTTGTTTATTCACAGGAACTCCTTCCTTCATTTTAAAGAAAATGTAAACATAGGAACAAGATGTGCAAATTACAGTAAAACCATAAGAAAATTACAGTAAAGGCATATGAAAGCATAAGAAAATTACAGTAAGAGCATAAGAAAATTACATTAAGACCATAAGAAAATTACAGTAAGAGCGCAAGAAAATTACAGTAAGAGCATAAGAAAATTACAGTAAGAGCATAAGTAAATTACAGTAAAAGCATAAGAAAATTACAGTAAAAGCATAAGAAAATTACAGTAAAAGCATAAGAAAATTAGAGTGAAAGCACAAGAAACTTACGGTAAAAGCATAAGAAAATTACGGTAAAAGCATAAGAAAATTACAGTAAGAGCATAAGAAAATTACAGTAAGACCATAAGAAAATTACAGTAAAAGCATAAGCAAATTACAGTAAGAGCATAAGAAAATTACAGTAAGAGCATAAGAAAATTACAGTAAAAGCATAAGAAAATTACGATAAAAGCACAGGAAAATTACAGTTAAAGCATAGGAAAATAACAGTATCTAGCATAGTAAATTACAATATAAACATTGGAAAATTACAGTAAAAGCATGGAAAAATTTCAATAGAAGCATTGGAATTCTTATTACGTAGATCCTCAAGTAAAAGTTAAAGAAAATAAATAAAAGAATGGATTTAAAGGTTCTCAAATGCAACAATGCCGATCACCAACCTTCTCAAGAACTGCAGGAATATATAATAAATGATAATAGAAATTTTAAAAATATAAATCAAAGATACAAAAATAATAAATAATATCATTAAAAAACATTAAGAAATGGACCCCCCAGAGCGTCGCCAGGTGTGGGAAGCTCCATCCACCACCCGTTCCTAATGCCGGACCTTTAACTCCCACTAGCTTTTCCCCAGCCGGGGGAGTCAAGGAGTTACTTCCGGTGGCTGGCAAACCAATTGAATCCATTGGATGGTTGGTATCTGACAACAGTTAATAAAAAATACCATATTAAAGAGACTGTAGCAAGTGACACAACATATATTGAATTCAAACGGTTCCCTTTTAACCTTTGTTTGATCAATTTATTAACTAGAACTCATTATTTTATTCCCTTGTGGTTTATCTTAAAGTATTTATTAACTAGAACTCATTATTTTATTACCTTGTTTTTTATCTTAAAGTATTTATTAACTAGAACTCATTATTTTATTACCTTGTGGTTTATCTTAAAGTATTTATTAACTAGAACTCAATATTTTATT